GTTGCACTAGTTTGCATTCCCGCCAGCAGTGTAGAAGCGTTCCTTTTTCTCCACATCCTCGCCAGCATCTGTTGTTGTTTGTTTTATTGATGAAATGGTTGGGCTTGCAGTTAAGTGAGGACGCCTGTAAGAGGTTACAGCAGGCTCCAGTAAGAATCATAAGAGCAGACGTGTGTATAGGCCATTGGGGGTGCTGAAGTGCACTTGTGAAGGGATGCAGACCTGCCTCGTGTCCTACAGGGTGATGGTCTGTTGCACCTCCACCAGACAAAATGCATTTCGATTTCTGTGAGCAAGAGTCATTAGCTTTGTCATCACTTTCCTGCAGCTTAATATAGGACTCTCAAACAGACCAAAGACAGTGGAAGGTCCAGGTCCTCGGAGCATCTAATGCCCTGGGGGTCCGCAGGACAGGGTGCCTGGTGGTCCTTCTTCCATTGCAAGGTCTCTCACAGACTTTCCTGAGGATGGACGAGGACCCGGGTGGGGCATGAGGGGTGGCCAGGGAAAGAGGCCAAGGAACAAGAGTCAAGGGTGTATCTCAGACACACATCTCCCCTCCTTTGCAGGTTGACCTGCAGCTTCTCAACTTCCCTGGACTATGAGATTTTTGTTGGGAGAAAACTTGAATTCCTGGTGGCCATGGCATTCATAGGATTCGCTGTGGCTCCTCTGCCTTATTGTTATCATTTATAGTTGAGAAATAGCATACATAATGTACAGTGAGGGGCTCAATGTGTTTGGGTAACAACCTTTGTATGCATGCCTGCCATACGTACAGGGTTCCCTTGGGATCTCTGGTATCCTATGGTGACAGTGTGGCAGTGACATCTTATTTCTGGTTTTTGTTTGTTTTTTTGAGTTGGAGTCTCACTCCATTGCCTTGGCTGGAGTGCAGTGGCATGCTCACGGCCACCCCAGTGTTGACCTGCTGGGCTCTGGCTGTCCTTCTGCTTCAGCCTTCCAAGTAACCAGAACTACAGGCGTGGGCTACTGCGCCCAGCTAAATTTTTGGTTTATTTTAGAGACGAGGTCTCACCAAGGTGCCAGGGATGGTCTCCATCTGCGGGCTCAGGCAATCCATTCACCTCGACCTCCCAAAGTGCTGGGATTACAGGCTGGGCCATTGAACCCGGCCAACATCTTATTTCTTTTTTCTGTTTCTCCGTTCCAAGAACCCAGCTTATGGTATCTACCTGATGGTGGGAACCTTCATTCACAACAAGATGCAGAAGATCAGACAAGGGAAGATGACAGGTGTGTCAGTGACTCGGTAACCATGGCAGATCTTCCTCTGTTCATTTTACTAACCTAAATTTACCATATTGATCATTTTAAGTGTCTCCTTCTATGACATTAAGCACATTCACAGTGTTGTGCAACCGTCTCCACCATCTGCATCCAGAATGATTTCGTCTTCCCAAGGTGAAGCTCTGTCCCCATCCAACACCTGCTCCCACCTCCCCTCCCCCTCGCCTCCGTCCCACTACCTAGCTCCCTGCATTTGGATACTCTGAGTACCTCGTGTAAGTGGAGTCTTACAGATCTGTCCTTTTGTGACTGGTGTCTTTCCGTCAGCACAGTGTTCTCAAGTGTGTCCATGCTGTAGCATGTGTCAGATTTCCCTTCCCTTTTGAGATTGAACAATACTCCACTGTATGGATATACCATGTTTTGTTATCCATTCATCTGTGGATGGACATTTGGTCAGTGATCTGTTGCCTGCACCCTGTGGCTGATGTGAGTAATACTGCTGTCAGCATGGGTATGCCAATGTCCGAGTCACTGTTTTCAGTTACTTGTAGTATATGTCCCTTTGATG